AAAGAAGAATAAAAAAGCAATAAACATTTGAATAATTTAGTTTCAAATGTAAGTTTACGTTACAGGAGTGGTATGATAAGTCACTTCTGAAAAGGTTAAATTAATTACTAAGAAGATATTTATAAAAGTTGATGATTTCACGTCATGTCACAAAACAGGAATATCTCGTGATATTTATTACACTGATATTTATATCAATGTCAACGTTTATGACAGAGGTGGGCGAAAACATCATAATTATGTCATTCGATTTACATAACAAATAACCCTATTGGATAAATGACTAAATTTAACCAAAGTAAAAAAGTGTCATAAAATGATTCGCGTGTCTAGCAGACAACTTTATGCATAATAAACTTTTTATCAATTTTATTTCAATGTTCAACGTGAATACAGCACGTGTAAATGAACTAAAATAAAAATACGAAAAAACTTGTTGAGTTGACGCAAAGAAAATCGAAAAAAAGAACATGGTACTGAGAAATCATAAAATTAAGGTATAAAAAATGGACTAGGTGTCGATTTTTTTTATTGAAATAACGTTGCATGCATATTATACGGTTGTTTGCATACGAATCGATATAGGTACCTGCGTTCGGGGACTGCCTACGCAGAAAAACCGCGAGCCTAATTTATAATAACCAAATACGTTAGTGGGTTAATCCGCGCATTCAATAAAAAGTTGACCACATTATGTTTACAAAAGATTTTGTCAGAAATCGTAGATGGATGTATTAACCAATGAAAATATGGACACAAACAATGGAATTGTAACACGCCTTTTTTGAGCAATGGAAAAAATGGAAAAACTAAAGGTGCCTTTAAAATGTACACCAGCATTAGTTTAGTTTCTTACTGCAATCTTCAAAATAGACGTCAACGGCTGATGTAAGATTTTGATGGGTAAAAAAGACATTAGATATTACTCGTAATTTATTGCATTAAACTTCCCTGTTGGTTTAAACTGACGTGAAATAACGCTTGCGTTGTGTTTCGTCGTCTGAGTGAGGCTACCGGAGGCCCAATTATATCGGCCACACCGTCCCCAATATTCCCAATCCCTGTATCCCCAACCCACTACGAACTTGTAATGCCTCTGGTGTTCCAATTATCCATGAGCGACGCCGACTGCTTACCATCAAGTGATCCGTTTGCTCGTTTACCGGCTTACTAACACAATAATAAATTAAAAATAGACATGATTCCTGGGCTAATCTATCCTCACAAGCCGGTAGTGATCTACAAGTAAATTACCCACACGAGAATTGAACTTTGGTACAAAATATAAGAATAATACATTAAGTAAGGAAGTCTATAGATTGGATGAATTATTCAAACAGTATGTTGTTAGAGCAGTCAGTCACCAGGCAGTGGGTACAATTTATAAGTTTTCCGCAAAAAGCCGGTTTTAGAAGATAAAAGTGAGCCGCGCTCTGAAAAAGATACCAAACTAATAATGAAGACACGGGGACTACTACTATTAACTAAAAATTGTCTCTTAATTTTGATGAATACATTGTGTGTTACGTGTCTTGTATAATTTTCTCCAGTTAGTGTTTTGTGTCCCACACAATCAGGCTGTTGTCACAGTTACAAGTGTAAACTATATAATTTACTTTAGACGAACGATCATCGTTAGTTTACGTTGCCGAAGGTAACAGCAGTAAACAGCAAGACTGATAAGATTGTATTTAGAAAATAAGAAATCAAACATATCCTAAAATAAAGTTTAATTAACACAACATCATAACATCACGGCTTTTATCCGCGAAGGAGTAGGCAAAGGTGCACATTACGGCACTTGATGCCAAAATGTAACACCCATTTTTCACTATTTATGTTGTGAGTCCCATGTAATAGGGGGTGAGTCATGTTCCATTTTCACATGGGCACATATCCAGACTCCGTGCTACTACTGAGATTTTTAAAAATAATAGTACGTGCTTGACCCAAGATTAGGACCCGAGACCTCTTGCCCGGCAGTCACACTTGCGACCACTCAGGCAACGAGGAACTATAATTATTAAAGTAAAATAATTCTACGTTAGAGTTCGAAGGTGACCGCAGTCGCCTTTCCCCGTGCTCTTCCACGAGCGTGTAATATTTGACATATTACTAAACAGCGGCGCAGGCGCACGTATAAATAATGCGGTAATTAAACGCTTCAGACACCATGCTTGTACCACTGTTTTAGGTACACAAACTAGTGGGGAAGCGATGCTAAGCTACAGAAAGGATATTTATTATCATATCTTATATACGTACTATATAAAGTTAAAGATGTTTTTGTTTGTTTGAACGCGCTAATCTCTGGGACTACTGGTCCGATTTGAAAGAAAGAAATTGTGTTGGATAGCTTATTTACCGAGGTAGGGAGGTGTGTAGCAGCGTAGTTGCAGCGCGACAATCGCCGCGTAGCGGGTCGCGGAATACTGCTCATGAATATGAGCCTCTAGCATAACTTGAAACTAGTCGAGTTCCTCGTCAAATAATTACGTGAATAAGCCGAAAATTTAATTAATGGAGTATGTCTCACGAAAGTTATATTACCTTAACATTATAATCTGTGTAGTATTAGTATAGACATATCTTTGATTGTGCAACCAGCATAATTATGTGGGAGGTCAGTTAGCGCAGTGTAGTAATATGTAGTATACTTAATTACAATTATTTGTATATGTTAATAGCCATTGAAGACCCAACACTGACACTATTCTTCTAAAATCACCTTGAACTCAAAATACCAAGACATCTCCCTTAAATATTTGGAATCGAACCCGAATACCTAGGACCTCCCCTTTACCTCGAGGGAATCACGACATTCATAAATCATTAGCAAAGTGTAAAGCGATTCAAAAAGGCGTGAATGAATCAATGATGATTCACAATCACCATGTATTTCTTAATGTTCATAAAATTCACACGTAGTTGTTAAATAATAACTTTCTGCTGGACAATACTGGTTGACCTTGAGGAGTTTCCTTTAATAATTGAAGATGTCTCAGAGTAAAAACAGTTTTGTAAGTGACCTAGTGTTGCTAAAGACAGCTGGAATACTGTGACGAGTGGGTTGTGAAAGATTCAGTGACAGCCATCGTGATGGTGTGTCAAAATGTTATGATTTAAACAAACATGATAAATTTTATTTATTTATTTATTTATTTTACATAAGTACAGATACAGACGACAGATTGAAATCGTACACAACAATCTCAATTATAAATAGTGAGCGAACCTGAAGTCCAATTACAACTGTACATAATCCATTTATATCAAATTACATAAACAATTCCCAAATGTTAATCCATTTTACTATAATAAATTTTGTTCAATTTATGAAAACTAAAAATTACTAAAAACAGGCCATACAAGAAATCAAAGGTAACAAAGGTACAAAGGGAACAACTGAATGAGTGAACAACAATCCTGAAACAATGGCGTAACGACACATATCATGCTCATCGAGCTCTCAGCGACTTGCTGAAAATGATATGCAAGGGATCTACCAATGCCGCCGCACATATACTAATAAATACTGGTGGAATACCGTCAAAACCACTACCCTTAGTCAAATCTATTCGTTTTAATTCGTTTAGAAGGTCGCTCTTCGCAATATACAAGTCTCCAATCGTAAAGTTTGAAGGGCCACAATCCGGGATACAAACTCCTGGTGCGCCAGCGCAATAAACCGATGAAAAGTAGTCCGCAAAGAGGTTGACAATATCGGTACCTGAAGAACCAATTTTATCATGATAGTAAACATGACTGGGCACGGTATTGGTAACTTGTTTGCTTTTGGTATACCGCCAGAATGCTTTAATATTGATTTTAAGATCCTCCTCTATTCGTTCAATATACGTCTTGAAACATTGCCGTGCAAGCACTTTCGCCCTAGCCCTGAGCATTGAAAACATGTCATAATCTCTTGGATTCCTATATCGTTTAAATCTAGTGTGGGCTTTGTGCTTGGTTGCTAGTAATTTTATGAGACTTTTAGAGAACCACGCAGGGTACCTATTGCCAGAAGCCTTAGATTTCGGAGTGAACCTTTGTATAACCGTGTAAAGATGATTGTAAAAGAACAGAACAAACTCATTGCACCCCATATTCAAGGCATGACTTTCCCAGTCCATCTTTCCGATCTCTCGCTTACAGCTATCAAAATCAGTTTTTCTATAGCAAAATTTGTTAACCGAACTATTTTGACGAAGAGTGGAAGTACTGGTTTGTATTATTATTTCAAATGGCGGGTGATGATTGTCGAGACGACTTATAGGAACTGCCGGAATCACAGCAATTGTCTCAGGTCCATCCACGACCACTAAGTCGAGAATTCGATTATTTTGGTTCGTGTGAAAATTCAACTGTCGTATCGGATGTAGTTGAAACAAATCATAGATAGACCTGGACTTCTCGCAGCTATGATCTACAGGACAGCCTGTTTCGGGCGACCACGTTATGTTACCCAAATTGAAATCCCCCACAATGCAAGTAAAAAACTTATCATTAATTCTGTGACCACACACACTCAAAAAACCTTTTACTATATGCGTTGGCAAATAATCAGGAAGGTATACAATGCACATATTTATAGTTATAGATTCATCTACCTTGATTTGCAGCCACAGATCCTCCACATGCTCCGATTCCCAGTCCCTTCTACACAAGATCTGAAGCTTTTTGGAATATGCAACCAGCACACCCCCACCATGACTTTTTTTGTACCGAGTCCGAAAACCAACATCCCGATCCCTTCGCAATACACAGTATCTGTCGTCAAACAACTCCGAAGACATAACAGTGTCATCAAGCCATGTCTCAGTGAAACATATGATATCATAGTTATTAATTAAAATTGAATTATAAATTTCAACAGTCTTAGTTTTGATACCTCTAACGTTCTGGTAATATATTGACAAATGCATCTTTATTTCTTGCTATCCTAAACATCAAAGATAGGGCAAGTAAATCCTGCCTTAACTACACAGCCCAATTGGGCATTAGCAAATGAGGTCAAGACTATCCGTATTCCTCACAATTATATACTTTGAATCTTCCAGCTTTCTTACATATATGCGGCCATTCTTAATCCAAACAAATTTATAACCCAGCTCTTTAGCTCTTTGACGTGCTGCTGCATGTAACTTCCTGTTGGCGAGAGAAAGGTGTTCCGAGACATATACAGGTTTCCTGACACCTCCGATTCCGAGTAAGGATGTGTTAAGTTTTTCTTTTGGATTAGATTTGTTGTACCTATATACTGCTGAATAAAATTCGTCACGCTTTCTTGCATTTCCAAACTTGACAATAATAGCACGAGGAAGTTTACTCTCTCTGTTTAGTTTAGCCACTCTAGTGCATTTCACGATATCGTCCTTATCGAAACTACAACCCACCACACGGCCACATTGCTCCAAGAGATTAGGTAGGCTCTCATTCCGGTGTTCCGGCACTCCCTGTATCTCCAGATTTTCCTCACGCAGATGCTGCTCCACATTGTTCAAACGGTCCAAGAGTTCTGATACATTGGATTTAAGTATCTTATTTTCCACCGACAGGTCCGAGTTCTCTTTGGCGAGTTTATTCACGGTGTTTCTCATTTCGTCAAAGCCCGCGCTAACAAATTCTATAGTCCTGCGGAAATCAGACAAATCTTCCTTTATGGACGACAGTTCAGTCTTCATGATATTAGAAATTATACCCGGCAATTCCGAGAGAATCACATCATGAACTTGCTCACTAATTGCTGATACAAGTGAGTCGTCTTTTGTTTTTGGCGAGCCAGCCGACACCTGATTTTTAGAATTTTTATTGCAGACACTCTGTTTCCTTCTGAGAGTAATATTTCCCAATACAGATTCCCGTTCCTCCGTCCTAATAATATCATCCTCCTTAAGATTACGCACCGGTGTATTAAGATTTCCCACCTTAGGAGCTCTACTCCTACATTCCTGGCATGGCCATTTTAACCTTTGCTCTTCCACCATAGAGTTATATTGTTTTTGCGATACATTCGCACAGGTGAGATCGTAAAACTGGAAACATTTGCAGCATTTTAAGCGTGCTCGGTCATCAATATGATTCTGACACCCTGCACAGGAAGTGACCGGTGGCGCCATCTTTTTGTTGTTTGCAGAACTATTTTAGTATGTTACACTGTTTGTGTTCCAAGACTACTGTAATGAATTCAAAGTCACGGGCTCAAATCCCAGTACTACGTTTTATTTGAATTTTAACAATTCCAGTTTTAGTTGGCAATGAATTTTGTATGGTAACACTCTTACGCAGTAGGCAACCCTGAACTAATGACGTTTCAGAATTTGACAGGTATCACTTGTAGCTAGATGTATTTTAGTCTATGGACACAATAAAAATAATAGAGATGTGGGTAGAAGTTTTTCACTGATTCTATATTTACTTCACTTTGAATAAGTTTTATTATTGTTATTAAGAAACCAAAACAATAGTCTACAACACCATCACAGGCCCGAAATCCAATCACAATTTCTAAATGTTTTTCGGCACAATTTGACCAGTTCCCGCACAAATCGCGAATTAAATTGAGAAGCGTATGCGTCCTTGACAGATAATATTTTTTATTTTTTTAAATGCCTCGTGAGATTAGTTATTTTGATTGTAGGTTTCAATCTTAGTCTTAGCTGAAGATCGAACTTATGAACTAGTGACCAGTCAACTAATGAGACAATTAATTTAATCTAGTCCAGTTATGTTATAAGTAAAGAAAGAAAGAAAAAGATGTAACGTAGTTGTAGTTTCCAAACAGAATTTTGAGAAATCCTGCAATTACGTTTGTTATCCGCGACTTCGCACACGTTTCCGTGTGCTAAAATACACCCTATATGTAATTCCAGACCATAATCTATCCCTGTTCTAAATTCCATCCAGATCCCTTTAGCCGTTTTGACGTGATTGAGTAACAAACACACAAACATACAAACTTTTGTATTTATAATATTAGTAAGATATATGGGGACCTCTTGTCCTTTACCTTAATACAGAACCTTGGAATGAGCAAATATTGACCAGTGACCACAGAGTGTAGCACGGTGGACATCGGACCTTGGCTTTGGTTGATTGGTGAACCAATTATAATACGAAAATATCTACAATACACTTGATGAAACTTGTGTGGACACTTAGTATACATAGGTATGTGTATAATAACGTGTTTGTGTATGTAACTTATTTGTACATTGTTTAGGTAACCTAGGACATTGTTTACTATAGGATTGCAAAGTAAATGTGAAAAATTGTATAAATGTTTCGGAAGCAGAGATAAAAAACCTTGCTTCTGATAACTCCCCGCTTATAGGTAAGTAAGTTCTTGTGTATTCGATGGAAAGTACCTTCCAGGTCAAGTCTCGAATCACATTGATAAACATTTTCTCGTACCTATACAATCTACATAGATGTACCGATATCATTATACATAATGCCTCGTTAGTCGAGTGGTCGCAAGTGCGACTGCTGGGCAAGGGGTCTCGGGTTCGATTTCCGGGTCGGTTAATGTATGTCAGCTCAAAGTAATACTGAAATTTAAGTAATTAAGAAATTCTCAGTAGTAGCATCGAGTCTGAAAATGTGCCCGGTATATGGCAATAGGCTCACCGCCTATTACAAGGGACTCATAACATAAATAGTGAAAAGTGGGTGTTACATTGTACAGTGGCATTAAGTGCCGTAATGTGCACCTCTTCCTTCTAAAGCCGCGATGTTATGTTATTATACTTACGTATGTTAAAATTAGTTTGCCTCGTTTACGACTGCCTCGTTGGCCGAGTGGCCGCAGGTGCA